ACTCTCCACTGCCTCCCTCTTTTGGAAAGAGAATGTCCCTATGCCAAGGACACTTGGATCTACCATGCTCCATATCTAGATGTGCCATGTCATCACAGGTTTGTATGAAACTCTACCCAGGCTTCTCCACAGAAGGCTTCTTTCAAGTTCCCTTTAAATTCACACTGATCATCTCTGCCTCACATAACTCAACCCATATCCTCTAATATATTTCACTCATACACTTTGCACTGCTCATACTCAACTTATCTCAATAGCATTTCCCATCTGAGCTGGTCACAGTGGGTAGAGAGTTCTCTCCTTGGCTATATCTGCAGCCCTTACAGAAGCATGGTCAAGAGGGAGACACGGGAGCTGGGGAGAGGTGTCAAGCAGCAGAGTGGTTGCTATACAAGCATAAGCACCTGAGTTTGATCCCTTGTGGCTACATAAAAGAAGGCCGAGCAAGAATTCACATGCCTGGGGCCTAAGTGATGTTGAGGGAGCAACTGGTACCCAGTGCTCAGTAGCACCAATCCACCCAAATAAATAGCACCATGGAAATGAAAAGAGCCTATCAGAGAAAATGAGTTGGGGAAACATAGAAGACATCAGATGTTGACCCCGGTCTTCTGCTTGTGCTTTAGCACATGTGCACACACATTCTCAGGCACATGGTTCTCACTTACATGTATTGCCTATTCATTCACTTGTTAGTTTTATCACTAGAGTTTAAACCCAAGGCCTTAGACATCTAAAGTAATCACTTTACCATTCAACTACAACTTATGACCCTCATATTCTCTTCTGAGCCCTTAAAATCACTCTAGAAATCAGACAGATGTTGAGAAGTCAGAAAGTTGGGGCCATATTGTCAAAAGTAAACAAAGAAAGAATGAGATCATAGCATACACAATATAGGTGCTTCAAGAAACAAGGAGCCAGCTATGGATGATACGAAGGTCTGAAAAGGGGGAAAACAGAGATTGCTTTGGCATTATATTGGATCATAAGTTCTTAACATTGTGGATAATCAAGAGTCTCACCAGGACATCCAGCTCCATGCTGTCTGCAGGCTGTGTGACCTTCACAGTAGCATCTGTCATAACAAAACATGCAGGTCTTCCCTGGGCCAGATTCCCAGGACATCTCAATTCCCCAGACCCCTACGATATCCCAGATATGGAAAGATAATTTGTAGTGGGGTGAGGGTACATAGAGGGGGTTCAGTATCCCAGACCCTCCACCAGCCCTGTTATGCTATAATGTCAGACATCTCCCTCCTGGGCCCTCATTTTCTCACACAGTATTTCTTCCTGGGTGGCAGGAGCTGGGCTGGAGCTGGAAGAAACAAGAAGACAAATGTCAGTGAAGGAAGTTGGGCAGATATGGTCTATGGTCCTGGGCATGAGTTACCTGTTCTGGAGTCTTTTGTCCCTGTTTACTGAATCTGCAGGAGGCTGCAAGTCAGTCTTTGCCTGAACTGCAAGAGAGGAAGGAGCCTCAGCCAAGGGGCTGTGGAGACCCTTACCTAGCACCTTGAGGACTAGAAGGCACCTTTGCAACTCATTGCACATATGTTAAAAATCTTTCAGGAGTTGAAAAAGTCTATACAATACAGGATATTCCACATGTTTCCAGAGAACATTTTGTGTTCAGATTGTGCAGACGTGTTTCTAAGCTAGTCTAAGCTGTCCCAGTCTGGGCTTTCAATGAGGATGGTGCCCTGGGCCCCTGCTTAGATAGCCCAGAGTGGGACCCACTCCCCACTGAGACCCAGGCTTCCCACACCCTACTCACCTCCCTTTCTGTTTTTCTTCTGATGCCTGAGTGTGAAAAGTAGGGAGATGGTGAGGAGGAAGAGCAGTAGGAAGAAGGCCACAGAAACCCCGATCACGGTCTTTTGATAGCTTACCAGTCCTAGGGGAAAAGGGACATCATGAATGAGGAACTGTAAATGAGAATCTACTGTGTGAGAATAAAGAAGCAATCAGAGTCTGCATGGAGCTGCACTGGGTCCTCTGCATCTATATTATGGTTGTTGGTTTGGTGTTTTGTGGTGACTTCCGACAGTAGTGATGAAGGTGTATCTGACACATTTGCCTGCCTTTAGGATGCTCTTCTTTCTGTTGGGTGACCTCACCCAGCCTTGATGTGACTGTCTATGTCTGATGTTATGGTATCATATTGTGCCATGTTCAATTGATGCCCCTCAGTGGCCTGTTCTTTTCTGGGGCAGGGGTAGTGAATCTGAAGCAGAGTGGATGTGGGGGGGACTTGAATGAGTGAAGGGAGGGGAAGCTGCAATTGGGATGCATTGTATGAATGAAAAATAGAGAGAGAGATGATAGATAGATAGATTAGATAGATAGATAGATAGATAGATAGATAGATAGATAGATAGATAGATAGATGATAGAAAAAAGAACCTACTGCGTGAGTACCCCAGTGTTGGGTCTTTGTATTTGCTGTATCTTAATCTCACAGCCATGCAACACATGACCATCTCTGAATACTTTCAGTCAGTTTTCCTGGCCTAGATCAGCCTCAAGGAAGGTGCATAGCTGAGGACTGAGTCCAGGATATCTGTCCTCCCACTTTGTTCTGTACACTGGAGCTAAACCTCATGAACAGGAAGGAAAGATCCTGAATGTGCTGCCTAGCCCTGTACCACACCCCAACACAATGTCTTCAACACAGTTTTAGATGGGGCAGAACCACTGTGGAACAGAGTTCTAGAATCTTTCTCTATAAGTATGTGAAACAGAGGAGATCATCATTAAAAGGAACTTAATGTCTTTGCCAGGGCTTCTCCATTTACATGTGTAGAAACTAAGAACCTCACAAGACATGGGGTAGTGTATGTCAACCTCTCCAGACAAGAATGTACCAAGCACATAACTAGCTTTATCCCTGCTGGACCCAACCTGCAATAGAGTTCTTGCTTAGACATCTGCTTCAGATACAACAGGGATGAAGAGCTGTTTTTCATGGCCTGACACACTTGGAGGGTGAAAATCAGGGCAATTGACACCTCCTCTCATTTTATGTGCTTCAGCCTAGGACAGATCAACAGGACCACTCTTCATCAGGATGCAGCTAATGCAACCTAGCTTCTGAGCCTCTGGCTTTCTGTAGACCATGTTGGGATCTCTGCTTCACATCTAGTAGCTTAGTCATCAGCCAAACTGATAAAGGAATGTAGACTCATAGGGAGAGAGAATCTGCACACACTCAGGGTGAAACAACTTTTCTAGATTAAAAAAATCTAAAACCTCTATAGAAATGGATTTTTGGACTCTAGGAGACTGTGGGAAATTTGTTGGGGGAATGATGTGTGGAAGCCTGCACTAACTATCTCATATCTTCTCAGTCTTATGTCTACACTGCAGCCTCTTCAGAACCTCCCAGCTTCCTACCTGGAATCTCCTAGGTTCCCAAGAAGAGAGTGAGATGGTCATTGAGAAATCTCAGTTCATTTCTAAATCTCTGCATAGGAGACCCTCTTTTCATAACCCTCCCTTGGATAAACTTACTCCTACCCCAGTCACAAGTTTCCGAGGTCAATTATCCTGAGTAACCCTCTGAGCTAACAAAAGTCAGGATCACCTCACCTGAGACTATGATCTCCACAGGAACGCTGGCATGTGACAATAGGTAAGGGGATGAGTTGTTAGAACCAAAGCATATGTAAGAGCCCCCAAAGGCTGAGGTTATAGCACTCATGAAGAATTCTGCCTCATATTGTAGATCTTGAGACTTTGCTCTTTGTCGCATGTAGGGATGGGCTGCACCTTCCTTGAACAGAAAGAAAGTGTCCACTGGGTCTGATGATTGACACAGCAGGGTCACATTCTCTCCTGAGGACACAGTAGTACCTGGATGCACTGAGATATTGGGTGTGACAGGGAGGTATCCTAAAGACAAAAAAATAAAGTGACTGAAGGACTACAGTCATTGCTTTAAGCCCCCACCCATCTTTCAGAATCTAGTCTCTATATTCTAAAAGACAGTCCTTTCTCCACTGTCTTGTTCTTAGACCTGTTCATCCCTGACATGCTCACCATCATCTTGATGAATCCCAGGTCTCCACCCAGCTGAGTCTGTGCCAAGATGGGTCCATACTAAATGCACTACATTGCTCACCTGTGATCATGATGTCTAGAGGGTCACTGGGGGCTGACCACTCAGAGGAGAAGCTCTGTGCACCAAGGCATCTGTATCGACCACCAATGGAGAAATTCACTGAGGCTAAGGTGAAGGTGGCTTGAAAATGTCCAGCCTGGGGCTGATGAGCATAAACTTGAGTGAGGTCACTTCCTCCCTCTTTGAACAGAGCAAATCTGTCATAACTTATCTCAGAGGAACACTTGAGTGTCAGGTTCTCTCCAGGGGCCAGGACAGGGACTTTTGAAGTCATCAAAGTGGGCTTCCTTGACAGCCCTGGAAGGAAGAGAGTCAGGAAGTCATCCACCTGACTCTTGTTAAATTCAATATCCCATCCTACTTTGAAAGTGCCATGGCCTTTTCTACTCTGGGTCTTAGGAATCAAGAGTTCCCTTCAGCCATCATGGCCTCAATCCCACCTTGAGGCAGCTGCACTAATAACAAAGAGTTTCCAGTGTCACTTGGTTGAGGGAACGTGGAGACTTTCTCACCTGAGACGTGTATCTCCAGAAGGTTACTGGCCTCTGACCACACATTTGTGGTATTTGTATAGTTTCCATAACATCGGAAGGGCCCATGTGTGCTGGATGTCACAAGGATCAGAGGAAACTGAGCCTGGGACTGTCCAGTGTGTAATAACTCTGCCTTTTGGAACATGGAGAACTTCAGATCTGCACCAGTCAAAGTGAACCCATCATATCCTTTGGATGAGACACACTGAAGGGTCACATTCCCACCTGAGGTCACCACAGGGCTGGGCACAGCTGACAGAGTAGGTTTGCCATGGTAAACACCTAGGAGAGGAGCAGGCAGTCTGTAACACAGCCAACACTGACTCCAGCAGACAGGCTATGGAAGCACACCTGTGGGAGACTATTTCCTGTGAACAGAGGCAAAGATCGTCACAGTGTCCTCTCACCTGTCACCACCAGCTCCAGGGAGTCACTGTGCTCGGTCCACCCTGTAGATTCATAAGAGTAACAGCGATATTGCCCTGCATGATGCTTTTCCATGGATGCTATGGAGAACATGACCTTTTTGCCAGGACCTTTTGGAGTTTGATGGAACCAGGGTGCTGGACTTCCTTCTTTATACAGGAAATATATTTGGGTTTCGTTGGTCCCCTCACACCAGATGGTCACAGGATTCCCTGTGCTGATGACAGAGCCTGGCTCAGCCCAGAGGGTGGGTTTCTTGAGGTTTCCTACAAGAAAGAAGGAGAGGAAGAGGTGGGACTTTGAGTAGTTTCACAATAAGTCAAACATGCTACTGATCTTGAAATGTACTCCTAAATAGCAAAAGGACCAGTAATGTCTTGGGAAGACTCCGCCTCATGATCCTCCCAAGATCTCATGTCACAATGCCCTCCCCTCAGTCAGCACAGTGACTCCCACAGTCTGCATGCTGTGTCAATTATCTCAGGAGCCCTGGATGCTCAGACATATCACACTTTATGGTCTCGACCTGTGTCAGGTGCAATGTGATTCCACAGAGAGTCTGAGGCTTCCTCACCTGAGACCAGCAGCTCCAGGACGTCACTCCCTTCTGACCACACCTGAGAGTTATTTTTGTAATAGCCATAGCATCTGAACCTCCACCTCTGGCTAGAGGTCACTGGACCCACTGGAAACTCAGCCAGGAACATCCCAGTGTGTGTGCATCTTGAGCTCCGAGGTATGGAGAACTTCTGACCATTCTTTGTTAAAATGAACCAGTCATATCTCTGACTTGAGGTACAAGAGAGGGTCACAGACCCTCTTAAGTTTACAACAGGATTTTGCATGGTTGACAGGGTGGGTTTGTTGTAGACTCCTAGAAGAAACACACATGGAAAATTAAAGAGGATCACAAAGCCTGAATTGCCCCCACCCCAAGGCTGTCCTTTGATGGGAGGTACTGTTAGTGCAGTCTTTTCTTGAGAGTGACATCGGGGTTAAGATTTTTGGTGTCTTCTCACCTGTGACCACCAGCTCTAAGGGGTCACTGCGCTGTGACCATCCCGCAGAGGTGTAGGTGTAACAGTGATATCGGCCTGCCTGCACTTGTGTCTCAGATGGAATGGTAAGTTTTGCCTTATTGTTGTGGGGTATTGGGGCCTGTTGGTCCCAGTGTCCCGGGCTTCCCTCTTTATATATCACATAGATGAGGGTTTCTTGGGTCGCCTGACACCAGATGGTAACAGGACTCCTTGAGATGATCACAGAGCCAGGATGAGCCCAGATGGTGGGTTTGTGAAGGGTCCCTGCAAAGAAGTAGGGGGAAAAGGAGCATCTGTTAGGAGAATATCACAGAGAAAGTCACCTTTGCAGGGACATGTAATCTGATCTGCAATACCAAAAGGACACATAAAGATCACACTTTTCTCTGGATCTTAGGTTCTATTGTTACTATCAATCCTGGTTTCCACACCTCAAGTCTAGCTGTATTACACATTTTAAGACATTGGGTTCAGTAGTCTTGGCTCTCATTCACCCATCACATACCAGGTCCTTTTGTGGGATCCTGTGTCAGTTGTAATGTCCATTAAAGGGAAGTCCTGAATTTCCTTACCTGAGACCAGAAGCTCTAAGTCAGGACTGGGAACCGACCACAGCTGGGAGTTGCTGGAGTAATACCCATAGCATGTGAACCTCCACCTCTGGTTGGGCGTCACAGGACCCACTGTGAACACAGCTCCAAATAGCTCAGGGTGTATATTCTGTGAGGGCAAAGCCAGGGAGAACTTCTCATCTTCCTTCATCAGAATGAACCTGTCATATTGATGTTGTGACACACATTGAAGGGTCACATTTTCTCCTGCAGTCACCACTGGGCTGGGAATGGCTGACAGGGTCACACTGCTGTTGTGAATGCCTGTGAGAAAAGAGGGCAAGAAAAATACGTGAATATGTAGTGTGTTTAAACAGACATTCAGATGAACGCATCATAACAACAGTTCCCAGATCCACTTCCTGACAATTATCTGACCACACACAAAGGCCTCTATTTATTAATTTTAATAATGTTTGCCGTATCCTCATATCCCCATATGACCCATATGAGAAGCATGTTCCCCTCTTCACATATTTAAAAAGGGGACCCTACTGTGAACATACTCCTTTCCTCGATGCTGGGGTTATAGAGGGGTCCTCTTACCTGTCACTACTATGTCCAGGTAGTCACTGTGTTCTCTTTTGCCATTGGGGCTCTTATATTCACACCTATTTCGGCCCACATTATTCCATTCAATTGATGTGATAGAGAATTTGGCCAAGTTCTCGGTTTCTATTAGGGTTGTTGGTATCAAGCAATCAGTACTTCCTGCTTTGCAGAGACGATATTCCTTGGCCTCTAAGGGCCCTTGACAGAAGAATGTCACTTGGTTTCCAGTGGTTATCACATTGCTTGGAACTGCTCTGAGTGTAGGTTTAGAAAGGATCCCTGCAAGAATACAAAAAGTTAGTTCCCCAGAACTCCCTCTCAGATATGAGCTCTCAGACCCAGGACATTCTCAAGCATCCCCAGGATCAGCCCACACCTGTTGTTGTCTATCTGCTCTGGTCAGGAGTTAACTGTGGTCCCCACAAATGATGTTCAATCTGGAACATCTGTGAAGACACTAACCTGGCAATGCCAGGATCCAGAGGCCCTGATGACTCAGTGCTGCAAAAGAGATAACTGTGTTTGCACTGAAATATCAGAAAGCCCTCTACTTCCAGGCATCTAAGCTGCTGAGACTTCTTGATGGCACAAGGCATGGCTGCGGGGTGGGTTCCCTCTCAGACAAGAATTCTCCCTCCCCATCTTGGCATCTCACCAACACACAGCAGGGATGTGAGAAAAGTTTTCATGGTATCTTCCAATTACCACAAGCTTGCAGATAGTTGGTCCCTTTGTCAAATGGAAAGAAACAAAGTGTATGGGCTATGAAGGCTGTCTTCTTCTCCTTGGTGTCACGAAGATGTAATAGGAGCAGCCCTTGAGGAAGAGGAACTGCTCTTCCCAGACATGTGATGCTTCTTTCTCCAGTGCTGTGGTGGGTTGGGCTACAGAATATGTGGCTTCTGCCTCTTTCTGGTCCTTTAGTTTTTGTGTTGGTTTCTGAGACAGAATCTCTTGAATCTCAT